ACCTTCATAAATTAAAATAGGCTCAAAAATTAGCACAAAAAATGAATTAAAAATTTAAAAAATCACATGGGCTTTACGGGTTACCATGCTGGTGAGGAAATAACATCGCAATGTAAACAGAAAATCAAAACAAATGGAAGGAATTCCAATCACATGTTTTATTTACAGCGTAGGGTGAAATTAGAGAAGTGTGTACATTATATATATTTGGTTGAGTTTTTGACCACCGGACGACCTCTAGTAAACACAATCTGTTATTAAACACAAATAACAATATTGTTGCCCAAGTCTTTGTTACTTAGAAATAAAAAAACCGTTGTATGTAGAGCATTGAGTTGAAGTTTTTTCTTAGTGCGTTTAAATTAGTAAGACTATTTTCTTAATTACTTCAAAATCTAAAAAAAAACCATCATTAAATAATAAATCATCAAATACTGTATGCATACTATACAGAAATTTTAGGCCTATTTTATGTAGTCAGCGTGCTTAATTTTCATCCTCATAATACAGTACGCCTGTGTATATATACTATTCTTAAGGATCCATAATAAAATCAAACTGCCACTAGGGAGACTATAAAAGCATTCGGTCATCTATCTTGCTTCATTTACAAATAATTGTTTCATGGTTCAATGGAGACGTATGGACGTCCATATTGATATGTGTCCATAGAGAAAAATGACAGTCAACTGTTTACAGTAGCTCTTCCGGGGCCATAATGTTGAAATATGAGCACTTTACTGTACGTTTTTGTTAATAATGAATTTGCTACTAAATAGGGGATATTACTGTGATATTCTTGGTAACATCTAGTTTCTGAACCTCTTTATTTTTACGTTTTGTGCCCCATGAAGCCAAAAGTACTATTCGTTCAAACTTTATACATACACACACGCGTACAGAAATTATTATTTAAGTGTCTGTTTTTTGGCACACACACTAACTCTCGTATAAATTCTCCTTAGTAAGCTCATATCAAAATTGTACAACAACATAACGGTCTCTCTTTGTTTTGGAAAATCTTTGTAAACTCTACATCTTCACTTAGTTCCTCTCTAGAAATTGCAAAAAACCTTTTTTGTCCTAGGACGCTAGGCACTAACCCGGAATTGTTTTTCACATTACTTCAGGCTCGACCTAGGGGTTACGGCACTATCACTGACATAAAATCCATTGGTGATTTGGCGGGATTTGAACCCGGGACTCCAGGAACCCGAGTCCCACGCTCTAACCACTACACCAGCTTTCTCCCCCAAGCAAAAAACATTTAAGAGAGATACTGATAATTAGCTAGTATTTTAAAATAACGACTATGTGTTGGTTATAGTTTTCATGCAATTCTATTTTTAAGTAACGTAATTGTAGTATTATGGTATATTTATGTTATTGGAATGGTTTAAGTTACGTCCCATTTACTCGGAGATAGTGAAGCAAACTATGAAATTCTCCTCCTCAAACAGCACAGCTGACCAATGCATTATATAACTTCATTACCTGCTGTGAGACCATGTGAATTATTCTACCACTGCTTTGCATTTTCCTGGTCGCCCTATGTCATGCCAGATTTGTTAACAAACGTATTCCGTTTGCTAATTATGGAGTTGTTAACGTCCACAATGATTGTTACTATAACAAGAGTGATGTTACGATGATGTGTACCTGTGGTAGTCCGGGAAATCTATTCCATTGTCAGACAAACTATATTTATTTTAGAACACCTTTGTGAAAACATAATTGCTTTACGTGTTTGTTTGAATGATATGCGAAAAATAATCAAAAAAGATTTTTAATCTAAACAATGTAAAGCAATAACAACAACAAAGTCATAAAACCTAATATTAAACTAAGAGGTTTCATTAGAGATTTCGTGGAACATACTTTTTAATTTCAAACCGTACATATTCAGTGTTAATCAAATTGAAGGTACTGTTTGGCTACTTTTAAACATAATATCTTCCAGGGTTTATTCTCAAAAGTAAGTTCTTCCTTGAAAAGGTTTGGAAAAATTTTCACACTGAGGTTAACCAACTTGTAAGCAGCTTATTTAAAACATATGTGCATACATAGCTTGTAGAGTTAGAATGTAAATTATGTGTGATCAGTTTCAACATCAGTTTAGCAAATTATAGCTAAGTTGATTTTCGTCTATTGCTAATTCGATATCCCTACATTGTCTTTTTAATCAATTATTATATTCGCTTAGGTTTTAGGTATAACTATAATGGAATCCCTATCATTTATAGGTTTTAGTAGGGAGTCTAGAATTAAACTGGTATAAATTCCTTAAACAACTTAAACACATTTCAAAAGCTTAGAAGCGCTCGTGCACAACTTGCAACAAAGTAAAATTGTTTGCAGTATTCATATTTCTACTATTACCTTTTCAAGCACAAAATAACCGCTGACCAAGATTTTATACGTGGTGTACATATAACACACACGAAAACTAAATAAATAACAATTAATGTAATCAAAACCTCGGTCGGTTGGACAGCAAGAAATAGTGACGGATGACAAAGTCTCCATCATAGCGGCAACTTGTCTCCATTACGTCACACAACTCGTATTAACGTCCGTGACATCCGTCGAATGTGTCTTTTGCTGTAACGCATGTGTTTTGATCACTCTTAACCCATGAAAGCCAGCTTAACCTAAACGGAATTACCAGGAGTAATTATGACTTCGTACGTGGTTGGAATATAAGTATAAAATGCTTATTGCAGTTATACTCAAGCTTTGCGTTTGCAATAAGGGAGGACACAGTTTAATAAAATTTGCTTTTTTAAATTTACTGTATACTTTAGTATTACACATCTACCATAGCCATAATGTTCTACCACTTCCCCTAAACATCAGAGTAAAAGAATATTAACAATTTGCAAAATATCACAAATTATTCATGAAATTAAAAACAAACATAACTGTAAAGAGTCCGACCTTGACAGTTCTCATTGCATATCACAGTGTTTTGTTGTTGCTTAGTTCAAATAGTCAATGGCTCAAATTAGCTGCTTTCATAAATGCATAAAAAATTATAGTGCTGCAACCTGTTGGTAAATCTTATAACTTTTAATGCCTTTGTATATCATAGAACCAATTTTTTTAGTTGAAACAGCTGACTAAATTCTTTAATCCCCTTTCAATATTATGAATACTCATAAGGTTAACATGGGCAACTACAGAGCCACTGGGGCGGAGCCCGAAAGCATTTTTGAGGTAAGAATATGCCTATACGTTAATCGGGAATGTGGGCTTTCATCATGCCAAATTTCAGCCCAATCCGTCCAGTAGTTTATGCGTGATTGAGCAACACACACACAAACTCACAAACTTTCAGATTTATAATATTAGTAAATAATACTTTGTTATATATGCAACATTACTATTAACCAATATTGTATTAACAATCAAGTCAACCTTTACTATTCATGTATTAATTTCAAATCACAGATTATACAAACCAGTAATGTTAACAAACTTAATTCAACTAAACTACGTATGATAATTTAAAATAAACTTAATACTAAATACTCAAATATATCCATGATATATGACAGGATATATTCCTATTTCACAGTATCATTAACAGGTAATGTTCTCATATGGGGTATTATATCGACAAACCAATCACTCGGTCATTGGCTGTTATATTGTAACTTGATTACCCGTTATAATCCCGTTTGTAATACCTTTTATTTCACAACTCCGATTATACTAATGGATCTATTAGGGGAAATTGTCATAGCTATAATTTTAATAATGTTTGTAAAGGGAATAGAATATATATTTAGACGTTATTGGTTTTATTAATTGAAGCTCAACGATTAAAATCAAGCTAATTGAATGAAATTAGCTTATTTCATGTTAAATACTAAAAGATTAATTCTTATTTTTGCTTTTAGCGAATTCCCCAAATAGGGAATAAGTTATTACAGTAGTATTCGTAGTAAGACCTGGACCCGGGACCGATTTACTTGATCATTTTGAGATCTCTAAAGTTTAAAAACACCGTCCGTTCAAATTCATATTTATATAACACTAGCTGTAACCCGCGGGCTTTGCCCCGTTTAACTTCTTAATTTTCAAGATTATCTCGTTCGCATGGCTCAATCACGTCCTGGTTGAAGTTTGTTCACTCACCTTTTGGTTGCAAATTAGCTGTTGTCATAAATGTAAAAGAAATAATAGTGCTGCACCCTGTTGGTAATCCTTGTAACTTTAATGCTATTGAACATCATAGAACAGAACCAACTTGTTTAATTGAAACAGCTGTTAATATTCAATAATTCCATTTCTCATAAGGTTAACATGGGAAACTCCAGAGCCACTGGGGCGGAGCCCGAAAGGATTTTTGAAATAAGAATATGCCTATATGTTAATCGGGAATGTGAGCTATCATCATGCCAAATTTCAGCCCAATCCGACCAGTATTTTTCGAGTTTACTTTTCCCATACACACATACACACATACAGCAACCACCTCTTTTTTATAATAGTATAGATAGATAGATAGAAGATATATATTATTACATCGTTTAATACTGTTTAACATGTTGCCCAGCAACTTGTTCACATACTACACGTGAATGGCACGTGCCATTTTTTATATTGGCACGCCATCCTCTGGCATGGCACGTTGTTGCCTACACACTTGATCTCAGTGTAGCCTGCAACATGCTAAACTACATAGTCTGTTCGTACAAATTAAATGCAGAAGACACACATATGACATTTTTTAAAGACATACTTAATTAATAAAAAAAAAAAATATTAACTATACATATCCAAAACACCTTAGATTTAGTTGTTCCATATCGTGAAGTTTTAAATCCAAATAAAAGTGAAAGACAACTTAGAAACAGAGAATTTAATACGAAAAATTTGTACGAAACCAACCCTCATTCTATTTTCTTAGCAATTATTTGTAAAGAATATGCGTTTTTAGATTATAATGAGCAGATTTTATTGTTTTGTTGTAAAATAAGTTTTTTTTGTTTCAGGAGGAGAAAAGAGGCGCATCATCCTTTCAGTCCCGTGAGTTAAATATTTTTAATTATTATTATTTTGGAGATAAAAGTCATACCTGTGATCTTTATATGAAATACCTATAATAAAGGCCACGACTAGAAGCTATTACATTGGTCACGAGCAACAGAGATCTTGAAAGTGGGACGTTTAAACGGATTAGGTGAACAAACGCCAAACTGTTTGTTTACACTTCTTTGACCTTCCCCACTTCACAAAGAGTGCGGCGAGCAAACATTGTTGGCTTTTAAATACTCGGCGTAGAAAAACGCTGTTAAATGTCTCACAGTAATTTTAAATTTACTGAATTTAGAGCGTTTAACGTGATAACAAGTTTGATTATATTAGTTCCAGCATTATAAAAAAAACCCATAAAAAACTGCCTAAATAGAATGTGGTTTGTGACGTGGCATAGTACAGTATTGATTAACTGTTTGAAGTTCCATCAAGAATAGTTTACAAAAACACCAAACAGCCGTTTGTTGTAGTTTTTAATAGCCATAACTTACCTGTGTGAAACAGTCTAAAAAAAAACTGCTTAAATGATCTTTTATAATGACATTATATAATTTTTTTTTGCGATCCATTTTACCTATATTCAATAATAATTGTGTCATTTGTAACGGGGGGTCGTGATTACCAGATGCAATATAATTAACAATGATGTCCCAAGCATCAAGTAATAAAAATAGCTAAGGGAGTTCACTCGTCAAACAATATATTTAAGCTCCAAAGTAGTATTTACTTAGTATAGAAATGCCAAATGAAATGCAATCTGAAAGGGATTGATTGAACTCATCTTAGATAAAATAAACTCAAGTACTTTTGACAGATTTAATGAACTAATCAAAGGATTAATCATCGAACTTATTTGTACCTAAAGACGGGTTTTCAAAGTTCTTAGGGATTTTTCTACATTTTGAAAAGATCAAAGTAAATTTTCAAGTACAATTAAGATCTAAAAATAAATTATGTTATTGTGAACTGAAGAATCTGTATTATACAGTAAATAGTAAAATTGATCTATTTTACGTACTGTTTACAGGTATTTCTATGTGATTTCAATGCAGTGGTAGGAAAATCCATTTCCAAACATATAATATTGAAAAACCATAAAATTTTGAAATTCATCATTCTTCAAAACTTTATAGAGAGGTTCCTGTAAATTAGTATATTTTATTAGCAAAACCTCTTAAAATGTGTTTAAAATGTTTCCAAACTAAATACCTGGAGAAACTATTATCAGATATAGAGTAAAATGTAATCCCTTAATTGAAAGCCATCCATCGGCTCCGGATAAAGCTATAAAAGTTTAAGAGCGCAACGTGAACAGCTCAGAACTGGGATCTTCTTTCTCGTTGGTTAAATATTAACAGGACCTCCGTAAGTGAAAATCAGTTGCTCAAAATAGGAGGTTATCTTATGAGATCACCTCTCAATTTCTACCCCAATTCCGTATGGATCATAACAAATTACAAGGGATCGATGGAGTAGATGATTTTTTTCAAAAATAATACTTGACGAATGAAAATAGTAGTTAGAAATCTCAAAGTGTTGGTTGTAATACACAATTCATACTATGTTTATTGTATGACGTTACAAACGTGTATGACCGTGTAAACGTAAGAAATGTTAATAAATCTGGACATACAACCTCTAAATAACTAATACTTTGCAAAAACTACAATACGATTTCAAATTTCAAAATCATTATTGATTTCGTAGGTAGTAACTGTTATTGTTAAAAGATGTTGAAGGGAATAATTTTACTTTAGCACTTTACTATTAGATTTTTTCGTGCGCATAAAAATCTATTTGTTATTAGGCTCCACGGGTAGGAAAAACAAAGTTTTAACTAATTTAACCAATGTAAACTTTTGGTGTGTTGGTAGCCTGGTCTAGTGGTTAGTGTCTCATTGTTGGTGCGGAAGGGACGGGTTCAATTCCCAACACATCCAAAACCCGTGGGTTTGAACCGTTTTCCCTAAAAGCGTTTAACTACATCCCCCATAAACTCTTTTAGTAAAATTGCCAAGAGAGATGAACTCACGTTAGAGTTATAATATCGATGAAAAAACTAAATTGACGAAGAACTTTGTAATTATCTAATTTTAAACCCCCTTTTGATTTCACCATCCACCATTTCTTCAAAGCTGTATTTTTAACCGTCTATTTACATTGAGTTAACCAGCTTTATTCTACGAATTCGACCCTGATCAACTATTTTCTCTCTTCTTCTTTTAGGAAACTCTAATTTCGCAGTTCATTAAGATCGACTGCAGTTTTAATGAAGTTTTGTTAATTTTGAGTTGTATATTGGTGAAAGTAAAAATAAATAAACAATTCTCTTTGAAGTGAAAATACAAGTTTGTTTTATAACGCAATATGCCCTAAACATTTTAGTTATAAGCTTCAAATTGATTATAGTAATCAATTGATTATAGTAATCAATTTGAAAGAATTTCCTACATAGGGAATAAACTATTACCCTAGGTCTCATGGTGAGACCTTAACCCGGGACGGATTTACTTTTAAACCAACTAATAAAAATCCTCAATAGGAAATACTAAGGGTAATGAGGTAACCAACTCAATCACTTTGTTGTTCCGTCAACTCTTGTGAAATAAAAGTCTGCACTAAACGACAATTGGCTGAGCTATCATACAGTGTGTTACAAATATTTGCACTATCCTGGGAAATCATAAGTCCACTAGGTCCTATCTGTGAAGATATTACACTCTTTAAACTACTTTCATGACAAATCCACACTTGGAAAAAACAACACATTTGTCTTTCTTATGATTCGAAACCTTGGTGATTACCAAAAAAATGTTAATCTTACTAATATTTTAAATCTGAAAGTTTGTGAGTTTGTGTGTATGTTTGTTGCTCAATCACGCATAAACTACTGGACGGATTGGGCTGAAATTTGACATGATGATAGCTCACATTCCCTATTAACATTTAGGCATATTCTTATCTCAAAAATCCTTTCGGGCTCCGCCCCAGTGGGTCTCTAGTTTCCCAAGTTAACCTTATGAGTGTTCATATTTAAAGGGAATTAAAGAATTTAGTTAGCTGTTTCATCTTTACAAGTTGGTTATATAATATGCAATAGCATTAAAAAGTTATAAGGTTTCCCAACAGAGTGCAGCACTATTATTATTTTGTTTGTGCATATATGACAACAGCTAATTTGAACTAAGCAGCAACAAAAAGCTGTGATACACAATGAGAACTGTCAAAGAAGGATTGTTTACAGTTAGGTTTGAGTTTTTAATTTAATGAATAATTTGTGATATTGTGCGAATGTTTGATAATTTATTTTTTTCTATTGTTTTGGTGCAATAGTAGAACATTATGACAATGGTAGATATGTTATACTATATCATACCGTAAATTTATGAACCAAATTTGATCAAACTGTGTCCTCCCCCAATTATAAACGCAAAGCTTGAGTATAACTGCAATAAGCATTTTATACTTATATGCCAACCCCGTACGAAGGACGGGTGCTCTGCTAGTATTAATTAATTAATTGACTAATTGCTCGTTATAAGATTTTCAATATTCATCACTATTAGGTATAGAGAGTTGTTATTGTTGTTGTTTGTAGGCTTATTTTTGTTGTTTTCTATACAACAATTTTTGTCACTTAGTTATTTTGGTGTGTTAATGATAAATTATTATAGTGTTTTTTATTTAATATTAATTACTAAAATGATTATTATGTGATGGAAATTCTGTAAAGTGTACCCTGATATAAAAGACATTCAATAATAATTAATAATAAATAAATATTCGATAATAAGCACTCTTAAACGCGACCCGTCATTAAATAAATACAGCCTTCAGATCCTATGTGTGCTGAAAAGTTTATTTTCTGTCTGTAAAGTTGATGATTAATCAACACCCTGATACGTAGGGAGCTAAAACAATTTTTAGTGTTTAATTATAATTCAAGCATCTAGTTAAAAACACATATTTTGGAACCTCAGGTGCTACTCAGGTATCTAGATTAAAATTAAATACACGGTATCAGCAATCCAACACATACTGTACTTTCTCCCATAAGCTTGCCAACAACCTTTATCATGGGTAGTGGGAGTAATTATGATAATTTTGTATGAACAAATCACAAAAGTTGCATTAACTTTTGAACCGTAATTGTTACAGTAATGGTGGTTGCATTATTTTGTTTCGAATTACAAGGACCACGACATATAAATTTTAATTTTTGTACCATTTTGTTCAGAATCTAAAGGACTATAACATACTAAATTTTTATCAAAATCGTTTGAGCCACTTTTGCGAAAATCTGATTTCCCATTATTTTATGGGTTTTTGTGGGAAAATCCCCATTAAAAATCAAAATATCGAAACAATGAAAAAACACCTGGAAATACCATGGATTAGTACCTACATACCAAATTTCATCAAAATCAAACTACAGGTGTAGTCTGTAGCTCTGTGCACATCCACACACACAGACATCACTTCGAAAACCACTTTTTTGGGTTCAGGGGGGCCCAAAATGGATATATCCACTCAAAACTCAAGCAACACTCGAAAACGTTTATGAAAACAATACTTTCTCCATATTCTATGTACAATGTCTTTGCATGAGCAGATTCCAAATATTTTTGTTACGTTTCTTATAATTATTGTTTGAAATCAGAAGATTACCAGTATTAGATTAGGGGTGCAGATTAGATAAACTTTGGCTGAAACAAGAAAACAGGTTAGTTGAATCGACCACCTAACCAAATACAACTCTTTGTTCTCAAAGCTATCACAACCCATTTGTATGCTAATTGGCTATAGATGTTCGGTGTCTACGCTACGTTCAACAATAAGGGACTATCTGATAGACTGTCACAATGGTGATAGACAGACGAATTTTGAATAGCAGCAACAATGTATTCTGTATTGGCAAGATGGAATATTTTATTATAATAAATGTTAAAAAGTGACAAAATAGATTAATTTGTTGCTCGAGTTCTATACAG